CGGGGGCGAAGGCTGCAGGGGAGCCGCAGGTTTTGTGCTCCACAAGCGCGTGCCGCACCCCTTTGGCGAGCACCCATTGCAGCCACAGGACGTTAGTTGCTTATAACAGCAGCTGCTGGTTCCCTCATGGATTTGTTAGCATCCTGCGCTGGCTGGAGATGAGGGAAGTGCACAGTCATTCTGCTCAATGAGGAAACAAACCTTTTTTTTTTTTTTTTTTTTTTTTTTTTTTTTTTTTTTTTTTAAAAAAGGCCTGAATCCAGTAAAGTGTGAGTAAATGGGTATTTTCTGAGGTTTAGAGAATCCTCCAAAAATGGGGTTGCAAGTTGGGATGTGTCTATCTTTTCCTCCCTTGGGAAAACACCTGGGAATCCATGTGCTTTGGCTTGGATAAATCTATCCTCACCAGGACCAATACTCACTAATGCCAGTTAAAAGTATTCAGTGCTTTAGTAAACATAGACACATTTTGTCCATTAAAAACTCTTCAGCCTTTGTAAACTGAACAGTGTCCAAACATTAATTCAGCATCCAACTTCCAAGATAAAACAGCACCTCTCCAGGGGCGCAGCTGCATTCCCGTTCAGAGCACCGACACCGCAAGCCCGGCCGCCCCGTGCTGTCCCCTGCTGCCATCCACAATGCAGAGGCATCGCCCCAACACGCCGCGTGGGCCATGGCGGTGCAAACTCGCACCTGACACCTGAAGCACCAGGGCAGCGTCTCCTTTGGCCGCTTCACACTGTTTCTTCCACCCCCTCGCTGGGCGATGCAAGAAAAAGCCCCTTTCCCTTCCCGTGTCACATGCCCACTTGCAGGCCAGCAGTCTGGGGTTAGCATGGGCAGGCCCGGGAGCGAGTGCAAGCTTCATTTCTGTCTCAGTTGTTCCTTTCCAGTCAAATATCCACTACACAAGCACAATATTGCTTGTGCTGAACAGTTAATTACTGCAGAAACCTGACTAGCACATCTAGGCAATTGCTTTAAATATTCATTTTTTTAATTTGTATTATTAGAGGTATTGATCAATTAACCATAACTTATCTTACAGAGAATGTTTAAAAAAAGTACAAAAAGTATTTCCAGGTAGACAATTCCTGACCCACAAAAACCAACTAATTTGTTCAGAAAAGGAGTTTCATTCACTGACTATAGCTTTATAGCAGGAAGAAGTAGCTTAAATGAAATAGCTTTTGGTTAACAGTCATTTTAAACTAGTTAGGATTTACACAACTCTACATAATAGAGTCTTTCACTTGGTGTGTTAATCTGTAAATTTAACCTTGTGCAACATTCTCCAAACCCCACTTTCCTTCTGTATAGGCCACTATCCTGGTCAGTATAATTCCTTCTTCCACTGAAATTACTTCTTATTTTTGTTATGGCCAATGCTTAGTTGAAAGTGACATTTCAGCAAAACAAGCATTGAGGAGACTTAAGCATTTGTTCACAAGAACCATTAGCTTCTCAAATTCTGCTCCTCCAAAAGGAAGAGGTGGTTAAAGTTAATCTTCCCGTGTAAACACTGACAGTCTCTTACCCAACAGATAGGTGTGTGTGTATATATATATTTAATTTTGAAGTTCCTGTTCTTGTTGTCCAAACAACTGTCAGTGACACAAGATCAGTCTCACTTCTCTCGTGCCTTGCATTGTTGATTTTTTTTTTCATGAAGTGATGATGAACTTGGGGTAAGGGTGATGAATGAAGCCACTAGCTTCCTTCATGCAGTACCAAAGAAATTGCCAGAGGAATCTAGACTTTGTTCTGCTTTCAAAAATGTTTTAACACGAGCAGCACATTTTTTTAGGAGGTAGACTGAAGCATAGCTATTAGAAATATCACTTTGATAATGAAGATACCAATCAGCACACAAAGTAATAGCAGCTGCTACAAACTGAGATACTATTATAGCCTGGAAATTGTTGTATTCCATAAGTTTTGTGCTATGCTTTAACAAATGCCACCACGTTTCTTCTCATCCTGTACCTGCCTAAGTGATCTGCATTGTTTTCCAGGCACCCCCTGGCCACCTTTTTCCACCTGTTTTTCCGAGGGAGTGCTATTGTTACCTACTTGTTCTGTGACTGGTTCAGCAACAGCTTTGTTGCCTGTTTTGTCACTATTCTCCTTCTTCTATCCTTTGACTTTTGGTCAGTGAAGGTAAGACAACCCTGGAAAAATAATTACCTTTGAAAATATCATGCGTGCCATTAAATAAAAAAGGGGGAATATATATTCTGAGAACTAAAAAAGTGGTAAAAACCTCGAGATGTTAACACATGAAGCCCATTTTGATGAAAAGACCCTTAGACACATTAGTTACTGCCTTGGTTACTAGCAGAGGCATTGCCTTTTCTTAGGTAGGTTTAGTTTGCCTATGTCCTGCGCTTAGAAGAAATAAAGTTGCACTAGGCTTCAGACAGGATTTGGAGGAGCCCAAGGCTGCACTGCACATGCAGGAGCTGCAAAGCACCCCTGGGAGCCCAGCCCTGCAGGCAGCGAGGCCTGGCCTGCACAGAGGCCAGCTGTGGAACAAGGGTGTAGCAAAAATATTTCCTTAATCCTTTTCCTCGATTCCACTGCAGCTCACTGGCTCATAATTAATTTTCTATTCTTTCAATATTCTTTCTTCCTGTGCTAATTTGCTAATCAGGGGATTTTTCCCCATTAACTGACTTGAGAAAGGTACCTCCTGTGATTTCCCTTCTGAATCAATGTTGGTGTGCCAGTTGTCATGTTAGAAGAGGATAACAGGCCTCTGAATTTCTGTTAGCCTATGCATTCTTAATGACTGTTGTGTCCAAGTTGGCATAGCTTACAGAGCTCATTTAGTGTTTGATGAAAAATGTGATTTTTCAGATGTACTTGCCATTTCTCTTAAAATGAGAGTGCAGCAAATAAATTTTGCAGCCAGTTAACATAAATAACCATTTCTTGCACTAGAATGTGACCGGAAGACTCTTGGTTGGGTTACGTTGGCGGAACCAAATTGATGAAGATGGGAAAAGCCACTGGGTATTTGAAGCAAAAGAGGTGAGAATAATAAAAGTAGACACAAGGTAAACCTGATGCTCAAATAAAGTAACTGGACAGCACCCTTCTAACAGCCACTTTATATTTACTTTATACTTATATAAATATAAAAATATAAAATATTTAAGTATTCCAAATGAAGAGATTTGCAAGCACATGGGAGTTATAGCATCCTGGAGTTTGTTAGTGGAAAACTCTCCTTGTAAGATTTGCATCAACAGAATAAGGATGTTACTGTAGTTACAAATCATTTCTGGTAATTCTGCTGTTTGATTTCCTTGGGGCTTTTGCTTGCTAGCCCTTTTCTGGGAAGGGCTTGGTAGAATAAAGCAGTTGTTCACCACGGCCGGCGGCACACGCGGCTGGCAGGGAGACCAGCGCAGGACGCTCCGAAGGGACACAGTGCCCTCTAGCAGCCCGGCAGCAGGCAGGAGGGTGGCACAGCGCGTCCGACCGCTGCCGGAGCCTGACGGACACCGCACTTCTCCCTGGGACCTAGCCACCCCCTCTAGGGAGGGCTCAGCAGGGTCTGGATGAGGGTGAAGCCTCTAGAAGACCTCCCAAGTTTCTTAGTGCTGTTGAGACACTAAGCAAGAGCTTTCATACACCTAAAGTTACATCATTTATAAAATGATCTCCTAACCTCAAAGCTGAGGAAGCTCGTTGCCTAATTTGCGCATTGCAGGTTGGTAGCTCTGGCCCCAAAGCACAAAGCTGACTTACTATATGGACTTAAGCCTTTGAGAAAGTCTGGAAGAAAAATACTTTAACATAAGAATCACTGTATTACAAGGAATAGCTCATCCATAGGGTAGATTACATTTTGGTCATGGATTATGCATGAAATATATTCCAGTACAGCAAGATGCAATATCCCATGTTTCTCCCTTCCCCATCAGTCCTCTAAAAGCCTTTTCAGACCTCTTGATAGGATGATTTTGCTTAGAAAACTATCCCCATCACTCACCAGCAATAAGTTGTTGATTCCTGGTCTGCTGCTGCAGTAACAGAGTTTCTCCTAGAAACCCTGTTTTCTTTTGAAGGTTGCTAGAAGACCAGCAATTCCCTCTCTAAACAACACAGCTCCCTCATTTTCCTCTTCCTTCACCACAGCCTTTTGTAATCTCACTCATCGAGTTAACTAGGGCTTTCAGGTGCAGAGTTCTCATGCATATTGACCCCCCACCCCCCAAAGAGTTACCATTAGTGCAAAGTCATTACAGAATAATTTATAAGTAATTCTGGATAAAGGAGAGTAAATCCTTTTATTGACTGAGAACTTTTTTCTTTCTGTAATATGATGGCATAGAATCACATTATTCTCTGGATCTCTGCAATGTCATTGGTTTAAAGTGCATGTAAAGAAACAGCTTTTAATTAAGGGATCTTTTTGGGCAAATTAAAATGACTTAAGCATGTTTACAAGTTGGATGTGATAGTCTGTCTAATATGCAATGGATGGAGAAATTTCTGATCTTGTAGAAACAAGATCAGAACCTTCCAAATAATTCTCTTTCCTTAGTTTCTCTGAAGTGTTGGGAACTACCAAAAACCTCTCACTGCACATGAGGACGTAGTGGTTGTGTTACCGGGAAAAGGTGGCAGCCAGGGCTTTTTGCAACCTGCCTTGATGCTTTTGTTTACACAAGTAGAGCACAGAATGCTTAATGTTGGAAGGGACCTCTAGAGGTCATCTAGTCCAACCCCCTGCACACGCAGGGTCTTCTAGAGCACGTGGCACAGGACTGCATCGTCCATATTGAATTCCCCACCTGTGCGTAGTAAGTTAATTTTAGGGAAAAAAGAGATTTGTCCATTCCTCCTCCTTTGCTGATTTGTTATTTATTGTTGGTTTTGTCTTTCTGACTAAAAGCTTTAATAATTTTCTTTCAAGGTATCTACAGTAGCTGCCTCTAGTGAAGTTGAAGCTCAGATCTTTTGGCTTGGTCTCATTATATGCCCAGTTATTTGGACAGTGTTTTTCTTCAGCACCTTGTTTTCCTTGAAGCTGAAATGGCTGGTAAGTCTGGGGTGCTGAATGACAGATGCCAGTGGAGAAGAAACTCTGATCTGTTAATTTTGTAACAGCCTTTGAACCAAAATTCAACATTAAAACAACTCACTAAGCTTCAAGTCATAAGGAATTTTCTGCAGTCAATCTCAGCACTCTGGAATTAATTTATAAGTTTTAGCTCCACTTCTTACCAGCTTTCAACTTCTTATTGCCATTAAAGTAGAACATCTTTACTGTTCAGCAATATTAAAGCCTCATTTTTAACTGTAGTAACTTACTCCCAAATTTTTATTTCATTCAAAAGAAACTATGTGATGGAAAGGAAAAAGTAAATAAATTAGTGGTACTGTTTTTCAAGTTTACACATTTCCTTAGGACTTGAATGTTATTTAGATTTCTGGTACCATTCCCTTTTGAAAGAACCACTATCATAGTGCTTAAAAATCTGGATTTATAAATACGGCAATTATAGCTGAATTCATCATATATCTGTGAAAGAAAAGAAAATCATTACAGCTATCTGCAAATAGTAAAAGAAGAAATTTACCTCAGGATAATCCTAAGATGCTTTCTGTCTCTGAAATGTTTGTGTTTTCCCCTGTAAACTATTCTAACACTTGAATAATTACCATTCATTTTGTCAAATGTAGTATCGTATCAGAAGCTAGATCAGAATGCTGTATGATTTCTTTAAAAATTTTGGAAAGATCAAAAGCAAGTGTCTTGCACCCATGCTGCACTATAATACATTACTGCCATTACTGCAAAGCTTACATTTTATTACAAAATGAAAAAGGAATTTCGAGCAAGTCCTGCAGGAAAGGACTCCTGTTTATGGAGTGTGACTACGCAGACGTTTTCATTTACAGCTGAGAACATTCATTCTTATGGCAGTTGTATACAAGCGTGCAGCTGTATATACAATTCATATATAGCACTGCAATTGTCCAGGCTAAACTTGTGTTTGTCCATAGGCTCTCGTTATAGCTGGAATCTCACTTCAGACTGCTAATTTATATGGATACATCCACTGTAAATTAGGGGGACAAAAAAGCATCAGCAGAACAACTTCTTTTGTTTCAGCACATGGCTCCACGAGTAAGTACTAAACTGGCTTGTCCCTTACAGCCCATAAAATACCATACCGCCCTGCTGCATGCTGTTGGTTTTGAATCTCTCTAGGTTTTATTAACTCTTGAATTTCGATACATTTCTTGCTTGTCTGATCCTCAAAGAAACGGTTCTTGTGGGACTCTCGTGGTGGGCTGTACCCCCTATCAGTTTGCTTCCCTATTCCTGCCAAACCCCGAAGGCTGCTGCCTCCCCTGCTTATAGAAGATTCTTACTGCATAAGCTGAACAGCCACATTTCATGTGCTCCTGCTGCAGGAAGGAAGAGGGGAATTTCAGAACGCTGCACTGAAGAACATGGAAACACAGCCAGTAGATAATCAAGTAAGGACAAAGTAAAAAGCATCCCAAAAGCTGTTCCTCATGTGGGGATACTGAAGTGCAGCTCTCTAGACAGATGCCTGCATTAAATACACATTTTCTGTCATTTATATTTTAGAGGCTTTAGACTCTTAACGGTTTGCAGCCACTACCACTTTAACTAAAACTTTCATCAAAAGGAAGGTTGTATAGGCAAGGAAATAAAGCTTACTTAAATACATCTGTAAACCTGTGTGAAACTTGGATTATCCTGAGACCTAGGATAAAATCAAAGAAATGATTATTTGTTTAACTTTGGAAATAGAATAAATAAAACAGGTTTTCCTTATCATGCACAATAGTGATTTCTCAATAATAAGTGGAATTACAATCACAAAAAGCCTCTTGGTCACTTAAGATACCAACTGTTCATTATTTAAGTGTTCAGGCTTAAAATCAAGTAGAAACAATATGAAATTAGGCCGCAAGTTCACAGAGTGCTTGTTTTGTGAAGCAGCCAGTTACCTATATTAAAATAAGCTAATCTTATTCTGACGCCTGTAATAAATTTAATACTGTATCTGCACATAAGTTGCCTTAACTCTAGTAGGATTTTTATTTTAAAAGTGAGACCGATTTAAAAAAGGGAACAAAAACCATATTGAAAATTCTGTTCTAAATATAGTTATTTTCCACTGAAAGGAGATACTCAATGAACTTACTATGCAAGAGCGCGGACAGTGCAATTCATGTTAGTGAAGAAGGTACAAAAAAAGTCCTACTATTTAGTGAGTCAGTTAAGTTTATAGACATGTAAATTAGCTATATTAGATATAATGCCCCAGTATCAGTGAAATGTATTTCATATTTAAGTTCCAGAATAAGGCCTTGTGTGTACATCTTCAGAAGCCAACCTTATATTCAGTACTAGCACCATGCCATTTGATGCAGAGCACATCCTTGTAATGCAGATAAAAGTTCCTGCAAGTTTTCTGACCACCTGCACTATGTAAGTACTATGGAAAAAACTAAGGCAAGAACATTAATGTTAAGAATTTATTTGCAATAAAATTCTTAAGAATATTAAGACTATATTTGCAATATACAAAATGATCTGTTTCTTTATTAATTCAAAGCATAAGTTACATTTCTATAACTGATGTGAACTAAATTTTTATTCCATTCATTGATTATACAGTCTTTTCTTCTTGAGAATGCTGTAGATCACAGTATTCCTGGATCCCTGCAAAGACAGGGAAAAAAATAGTATTTCAGTCGCACATGATTGTTTTTTGGTGCATCAGTCTGTCCTTTATTAGCACAAATATCACAAGTTGGGTCTTTATCACCGCCAAAATGTTTCTCAAACGTTCCCAGCTGTATGCATTTTAAAGCCCGCCCATCATCTGCTCTGTAGGTACTCTCTCTATATTTTCTGTGTCATTACTATCAGAAGTAGGGGCAAAAATCAGTCAGTTATATTTATTTATAGTGAAAGCCCCTCAGTAGACCTCCTTCAGAGCGTCTGTGAAAGCAAAGATACCCACGTCTTTCTTCAAAGTGATGATTTAAGCCAAGCATGGAACTAAGCCTACAATAACTGACTCCCACAAGTAAATATGGTAGTTGCGTACGGTGGTTTCCTAATTGCTCTGCACATGCTCTGCACAGCACACAGCATTTTTGGTGGCAGAATAAAGTAACTCTGTTTAGCACCATCACATATTGTAGAAAGTAGGGGCTCGGCACTGAGAGTCTGTTCACACAGTGATTTTCAGACTTACTTTGAATTATACTTTGGTAAGATGATGTAGCTGGAGACTCAGGTACTTCAGCCAGGAAAGACTGGCCTTGATCACAGCTTTTTCCTTGAAGGACAAAGAAAAACTTTATGAAAGCAAAGCAATAAAACAGATGAGCTCATCTTGATTTTACTTTTATTCCAGTTGTCCCACTCCAAACAAACAGATTCTATTCCTCTGAAGATGTCCTTCCATTAACAATATTATTAGAGCTACAGATCTTGTAGTTTTCCAAAGACACTGGTAGCAAAACACTTCATTCTTTTCAAAGTACTGACCTGTTTCTTTACAACGTTAAATAAAGTATTAACTGCAAAATTGATTCTTCCCCCACAGCTGCCCCTTATCCACAAAGGAATTCAGGCAGTGCCTGTAAGCAGCTTGGTAAAGTAAAAATATTACTTCTAAAGCTTAATGTTTGCAAGATGCCATTCTGGCAGTGCTGTGGTCTTACTCTGTGTTGTCATGTGATCATACCCAAAATATAAAATGTATTTAGAAGACAATTACACAGCTGACATGCCAAAATTAAATATCAGTTTAAGGAAATTGCCACTTTTCTCTTTTCATGACAAACCCTATCACAGGTTGATTAAACTTGATGAAGAAAGAAAATAAAAGTTATATGTAAAAGTGGGTATTTGCAGACTAATTTATGAGTGTCCAAGTCTGGATCTTTCAACAATTACATTACTAAGAGCACTGTAACTAAGCTGATAGTAGGCACAACTTGTTACTGTAACCAAGATGATAGCAGGCACAGCTCGCTACTGTATTGTGGTATGTGTGACACATTACCTATTTGAGGATCTAGAGGCACTTTACCCAGGAGGGAAATATTTAAGTTCTGGCACATCTTTTCTGCACCTCCAGTAGTTGGGGGAAAGATCTGAGATTCATTCTGTGACAACGCGAAAATCAGAGTTAACAAAAACCAATTTTGATAGCAGACATTTTAGAAGCAGTTTTATATAGGCAACATCGCAATTAAAAAAAAAAAACCTTACCTTACACTTTGGACATATAAAGCCACTCATATTTTCAACAACACCTATGATAGGCAATTTTACTTTACGACAGAAGTTAATCTCCTTCCGAACATCCTGAAGTGATACTTCCTACAAATGACACAAAAACTGTGTTATTTTGATGGTCCATAAAGGGAACCTACTGGAGTATATCTTTAGAGCTACTTTAAAGAAAGTTTATAATGAATTATTGCTCCTCTTCTTTTCTTTGAAAAACAAGGTAGTTGGGTAGTCTGTTGACAAGTTACGACTAGCAATGAACAGATAAAACAGCTATAGTCCTCCACTGACCATGGCTCTATTTTGAAATTTGACTTTATTCTTGTGGAAATTTAGCCATATTAATATTTTGTCCTTTACATTAATCTTGCATTTTAATTCTTCAAATGGAACTTTTTACATTTTCAGTGAACGGTAAGACCCTTCACTTTCTCCACAGAGCAAAGAAAGACAAGAACCACCAGGTTTATGTGCGCTATTTCTTTTCAAATTAAAATTAGCAATAATTTACCATTTCCTCAGGTTTTTCTCACATACGCCTGATCTCATTTAGTTGTCCTATTTGCTTCTCCTTCCCCCATCACCTATCTTCCATGACCCTAACCACTTGACATGCTTTGTGTTTTATTCTTTCATCTGTTCTTAGAAATACTAAGCATCTTCCACTAGTTTCATCTCCTGCTCCTTTCCAAACCACACATTAAATTTGTGTTTGAATTAGATTAATTTTACATTTCATTTGTGCAGGGGCTGATCTTTCTTTTTATAAAATGCACGTTACCAAGTTGTCTATTGCCTACTTGCAAGTCAGGCTTTCCTTGATACTGTAAGTTTTCTACCTAAAGCTGTCTTCTCTCTGAACAATTTAAGCAAGAGATTTTTATTGTACAGTCTTGAGGCAAGAGGCTATTTTACCTGCTGTCAAACAGCACACATCCCACCACTTAAATCCAAAGCTTTCCTAACTTCTGAACATTTAACACATTGGGCAGTAAACAATAAATCTGCAGGAATGTCAATTCTACCCTTGAAGATGGTAGTCAAGCTTCCTTCATTTCACTTCATGACAGCATTGTGAACTGCTCTGTGGCTTGCAGGCTGCAACTGGCCACTTAGATCCTCTTCTGTCCCGACACATCCAGCTCACACACAAACCAGCCATCCATAGGCACAAAACAAGTCAGTCAATTTGCTTAGAATCTGTCATTTCTCTGAAGTCAGAGATTCTAAACCAAGGATCTGCTCTAACAGCCACGGTGCTACGCCAAAGGATACCGCATTCCCTACCTGAGGCGTGGTGATGATGACAGCACCATCTACGCGTGCGGCGCTGAGGTACTGCACGATGGATAAGTGCTCGTCCGACGTGCCTGGCGGAGTGTCTATGATGAGGTAGTCGACTTCCCCCCAGTCCACGTCACGGAGAAATTGTTTGATCAATCCTGAAAGAAAGCATGAAAATGTGGAACAGGAAAATCCATACACACATACAAATGCACACACACTTGAAATTTTTAAGTCTAAGCATGCCGTGTCCCTTGACTACTGTCAGCTTAAGTACAAAAACACTTGTTTTGTCAATTCCACATAAATGACCAGAAAAAAAAAAAATCTAGCTCCTGAGCCCATTCAGCAACTGATTCCACTGCTTCTAGTTAAAAGTAGCTTACAAGCTACTTTTATGTACAGCAAGAAGAAAAAATGCTTGGAGCTATAGTTCTGTCTACAGAATTACACAGTGCTGTACATAGTATGAATATCACAAAAACCTCTCACTTTAAGCCTTATGGTTTAAAAGAGTTTCTTCCTCTTAGAAAATACGTTTAATTTAACACACTACAATTAAAGTGAAGTGCAGACATGCAGGTATGCATACGCTATATTTTCTATTAGTGCAGTCTGACTAAATTTAAACATCTTATTCCAGTTTTCCTCTGTTTTTACCCTGCGGTAAAACAGTAATTTCTGGGAATATAATATACCAAATTATTGAAAAACTGTAAAATAAGAGGAAAAAAAGGCAATACAAAACGTGAATTTAAAAAAAAAAAAAAAAGGTACTAGAGTTTCAGAGTGACCGAAGTCCTTATTTTCTCTAGTTGAACATACGCATTCAGTGAAACTAAAAGTTTCTACAAACTGCAATGCCAAAGAACTTCTGGTGCAACTGAACTATTCTCTCAGCTTTTCCCCATTGTTCACTCCGTGCGTTTTATGTTAATTAAATCCATCAACTGATACTTCATCTGTAAAGCAGAGCAATTGTTGGTTTAAATATGAGACACCTACCATTTTTTTTTGGTCCTCTCCAGATGACAGCATCATCAGGGCTACTGAGCAGGAATCCTACTGACATGACCCCCAAGTTTTCTTCAACATACTAAGAGAGAATTTTAAAGAAATCAATCCTAAACAGGCAGATCTCACTGAAGAAGTTATTTCAGAGGGGGAATAAAAAAGGACATTAAGAAAAATCAAGACAGGTAGCCTTATTCTTCCCCTTTATCAAAGGAAATTACATAGGGTTTTATGCAACACTCACTAATCTAATGATAGCCATCTTTTAACAGAAAAATGGACTTGTCATTCAGAACAATTAAAAAAAAAGTATATCTTAAAAAAAAGCTGTCATCAAAAAGCTGTCTCCCTCTGTCATCACCAGTCGGACTTCCTACACTTAGTCCAGTAACACCGGAGAATGTGAGAAAAGCTGTAACTCCCCAACTGTACTCATGGGCTGACAAAAAACTAGTTGTGCCAAGGCTAAAACAGTTGTCCCTCTCACCATCAAGTCTGCTTATCTTTTTTTTTTTAATTAAAAAAAAAGATTAGCATGTTTTCTGTAAACAACAAAATCACCTGATATTTTCCCCCTGTATTTTGCAGATTAACTTTTTTTTTTTGCCTAGTTGTGTTTAAAATACTATCTTTCTGTCTGAAGAATAACTTACCCAAAATGAGGAAGTGAAATAACCAGTATTTATTGCCCACACTAGCAAGGTATAGTAAGAATGGGAAATACATTTAAAATAATAAAACTATATTGGAAATACAGTGTTAGTATTAACAGAAGTAACTTAAATCTCTGATTTCTATGCCCTGCAGCCAGACTGCATAGAATATGGCCATTTTTGTCATTGGATAAAAAAATGACAAAGCTGTCCCCTGCTTGCCCCACCACTTTGCAAACAGTCCCCAGCCCATAAGCCTCTCTTTTCAACAGTTAGACCAACTTACCACAGGAGACCATCCAGAGCCACTCTGATGAACCTGAACATTGGAAGCAATACACGGAATAAATCAGAAATAAAAACGAATGTTCTGTAAGACATGAGCAATGCAAGTCAAAAGCGATGAAAATGTAGCTATAGGTGCAATACTTTACTACGTTTCATTAGAACAGCACGATGAAAAGCCACGTAGCAGCCAGAGCTCTGTTAAAAAGGGAACAGTAAAATCTGCCCAGGTGGACATGCAAGCCTGACTTGCGACCTCACTGTAACTCTTGACTCTCTGGGCAAGAAAATCGCTATGGGTGATTAATAAATGGATGAACTCGCTCCTCCAAGGCACGCGGCCGAGTCGGGCCGCAGCCACCCACCTGCTCCCCCTCGAGGCCCATCATCCTGGGCACGGACGGGCCGCAGATGTCGATGTCCAGCAGGGCCACCTGCAGGGGCGACACGGCGGAGCGCCCTCGCACGGGCGGCGCGCGACCACCCGCGCGGGCGAGC